AATGTATTTAAACGAAACGTATAGTAAAGTCCATGTGGGTAAACATTTGTCTGATAAATTTCCTATCCAGAATGGTCTAAAACAAGGAGATGATTTATCGCCACTTCTTTTCAACTTTGCATTAGAATATGCCATTAGGAAGGTCCAGGGAAACCAGGTGGGACTGAAATTAAACGGGACACATCAGCTGTTGACCTATGCCAATGATGTGAATCTACTGGGTGATAATGTAGATACCATAAAGAAAAACACACAAACTTTAATTGACGCAAGTAAAGAGGTTGGTCTAGAAGTAAACACACAGAAAACTAAGTTTATGTTACTGTCTCCAAAATGCAGGGCAAAATCATGACATAAAGATAGGAAACAGATGTTTTGAAAATGTGGCACAGTTCATATATTTGGGAATAACGATTCATTCATTCATTCATTCATCTGTAATCTGTCAAGACGACAGGTTCACAGTCTCTTCCAAAACAGTTCCTCCACTTGATGCAATCTAGAGCTTTCTCCTTGAAATGAAAATATCCTCTTCTGTCCCCAAGGTCATCCAGCATCCTCTAACGTCTTCTTCCTCGTCTTCTGGTCACTTCTATCCGCCCCTCTATCTTTCCTTCAATAACTTCATTTAGAAGGCAGTTACCGCGTAAGATATGACCAATCCAATTAGCCTTCTGTTTTCTTATTTTGTGTAGGATATTCCTCTGCTCACTGACTCTAAATAACACTTCATTTCTCACATAGTCGGTCCAACTGATCTTGTCCATCCTTCTCCAGCACCACATTTCGAAGCTTTCCAGGTGTTTCTGATCTACTGCCCTAAGTGCCCAAGTTTCAGCCCCAAAGAAAGCAATGCTCCAAACATAGCATTTCACTAGTTTCTTTCTCAAATTTAAGTCCAATTTGTCAGTAAAAAGATTCTTCTTCTTGCTAAATGCAGCTTTTGCTGCACACATACACCTTCCCTCATCTATTAACAAGCTACCCAAATATTTGAAACATTTCACATTTTCCAGTTGTTTTTGGTCTATCTTTATTGTGACTGGGGTTGGTTGTCTCGAAATTTTCATTACTTTTGTTTTTTCCACATTCATTTCCATGCCATAGCACCTTCCAATTTCGATAACAGACCAAAACCTGATTCAGGAGGAAATTAAGAGGAGGCTGAACTCGGGTAATGCTTGCTACCATTCAGTCCAGAATCTTTTGTCTTCCTGTCTGCTGTCCAAAAACATAAAAATTAGAATGCACAAAACTATAATTTTGCCTGTAGTTCTGTATGGGTGTGAAACTTGGTCTCTGACATTAAGGGAGGAACATAGACTGAGGGTGTTTGAGAACAGGGTGTTGAGGAGAATATTTGGACCAAAGAGAGATGAAGTGACGGAAGGTTGGAGAAAACTGCATAATGAGGAACTTCATAACTTGTAGTCTTCTCCAAGTATAATTAGAATGATCAAGTCAAGGGGGATGAGGTGGGCAGGTCATGTAGCACGAATGGAGGAGACGAGGAATGTATGTAGGATATTGGTGGGAAAGCCAGAAGGAAGGAGACCACAGGGAAGACCAAGGCATAGGTGGGTGGACAATATTAGAATGAATCTTAGAGAGATAGGATGGGATGGTATGGATTGGATAGATCTAGCTCAGGATATGGACCAGTGGAGGGCTCTTGTGAACACGGTAATGAACCTTCGGGTTCTATAAAATGCTGGGAAATTCTTGAATAGCTGCTGAATTGGCGGCTCCTCCAGAAGGGCTCAGCTCCATGAGTAAGTAAGTAAGTAAGTACAGGGCAAACTTTCCAAAATGTGACAGTGTTATCCACGAGTATTTCCATTTCATAACATTCAGAAAATTGTATGCTAGGTTTTAAATAAACATTGACTTCTCACTTCAGAGATCCAGGCATAAATCAGCAAGATTTATATGTGATTTACTGTGGACAGTATCATACTATGGTACATTATTCTTTTGGGTTATTTACTTGCTGATCTTTTTACCAGTTCTCCAAACTCATGTACCCCCACCTTACAGTTTGGCAGTCATGACACACTGTATACTGAGGTGTTAATGGAGCAGAACCTGAAAGGGGGTACTGTTATCTGCAGCAAACAGTATGATTAGCAATTTTACTTATTTATAGCAGGCCATAATTCATAAGAAGCAAGCATATAATTGCTTTATCTTGTGTGTGTAACAACACTTCAGAGGCAGCACAGTAAAATTTTTGTCAGTCTACTATCTTGCTATTCAGTGCACATGTAACACACACTGGATCTTCAGAAGTCCTTCACATTCCTTAAAGTTTCCAGTCAGGACAATATGCAGAGCAAGTATTTAAAGTACATTATACAGGATGATTAGATCAAAACATTATGCAACCCAGTGTACTTCATCTCTCATGGAAACAATTTATTAAATTAAATGGTCTTGAATTATCTGACACAGAGATCAGAAATTCATGCAATTAATCTGACAGACTAGGCAAGAATATAATGTGAGTTAATGTTTGGTAATGAATGTGTGCTATGCATGTGAAAAAATATCTTCAAACATTGAATGATCACACAAAACTGATGCAAGCTATGAATAATTCAGACAAGTTACAATTTGTTATGAACAATAACTAATATTACATTATTTGAACTAATTTTGAGCCATTTATAATTTCACTTCTTATGGGTTGCATGATTTCATTCCCTTCATATACGCTGAAGTAGAAATGTCTCTTTTCTCTTTAAGTGTTTCTTGTTTATATTTGCATGGGAATGCTGAAGTTCTTCATTCTGTGCATAATGCATGGTTTTCTTTTGTTTTCAGAATGCTTCATTGTTTGTGTTCATTATGTATGTTGCATGTACTCTATTTTCCTATCTGCAGGTGTTGAAAGAAAGTCTAAATCACTAACTGAATCCAAAAGTTGGGATAAACATTATAATTCTAGAAGTCATTTAAGCCAACAGAGTGAGTCATATCAAAGGGGTAAGTGTCTTCTGTTCGCAGGTATAATCTTAGTCATAAGTTATATTATTTATTTTGTTTGTAGTTTATTTAACAATGCTGGCAGTAATTGAGACTGTATAGCATTAGCTGGCCGGATAATGCTGAAAAAGGAATTGGAAAGGATGCAGAAGGAACCAGTTATTGCCTAGTTTTAGGTGCCCTGGCATTTTCCTGGAGGGACTGAGGAAAGCCACAAAAAATCTCAGTCAAGATAGTTGGTGTCCCAGCAGGGATTCAAACTAGTCACCTCCCAAATACAAGTCAGAACTGTTACTGTGTAAACCAACTTGCTCGGTAAGTTATGTTCTTAATTCAAACTTTAAGTGAAATGATTCTGATGTACAGTGGGTCAGTGGCATAACTCATTGATCTGAACTTTCTTTAAAGTGGTGTTGCAAATTCTAATTACTGTTTTATGCAACCATGCAGTATGTATTATGTAATTAGTAGTGCATCACTGCCAGAAATTTGAAATGGACAGACTGAAAACAAATTCATGACTCTCAGACAAAAGGGAATCTCTTGCTTGCATCCATATATATTAAATATTTCTGAATTCTTGTTTTGATTTATAAATTGAATACTTTTTGCATTCCTTCAAACTAATTTTAGTAAAATAAATTGAATGCTAATTATGTAAGTAAGTCAGGTGTAACCCACCTCAGTAAAGGCTGATTCTGTAGAAATATACGAGGGTCGTACTGAAAGTCATGAGCAACAATTTTTTGTAAAGTAACATGCTTTATTATTGACAAACCAAATAAACCACCTCAATTTACAGACCTTTCTTTATTTTTCCACATAATCACCGCTTCTTTGTACACATTTCTCCCAGGGTTCTGGGAGTTTGAAAATTCCCCTTCTGTAAAATTCTGTTCCAGCCATCTGAAGACACTGAAGCACTGCTTTCTGAATTCCCTCCCTTGTCTCAAAACGTTGTACACAGCTGATCCTTCACAAATCCGAAAAGATGGTAGTCTGAGGGTGCCAGATCATGGCTATAGGAGGGGTGTGGAACAACTTCCCACCCCATGTTTGCAATTGCTTCCAATGTGAGGCCAGCGGCATGGGGGCAAGTGTTGTTATGCAGGAGGATGATGTTTCATCCCGGATGTTTATGATGCAATGCATGACAGAGCTTGTGCAGCATCTGGACATAACGAGCAGCATTGATGGTTTGCCCAGGTTCCAGGAATTTGGCCAGAATAAACCCCTCTGCATCGCAGAAGACTGTGTCCATCACCTTTGCAGCTGATGGCACTGTCTTTGCCATCTTTTTTGATGGAGAATACAAATGGTGCCATTCCATACTCTGCCGTTTCATTTCAGGCTCGAAATGGTGAAACCAGCTTTCATCACCTGTCACAATACAGAGCAAAAAATCATCGCCTTCTTGTCGATATCTCTGCAGCAGTTCTGAGGTGATGGCTTTTCATGGACCTTTGTGGTCTTCGGTCAATAACCGAGGGACCCAACGAGCACAAACTTTCCTATAGCCCAAGCTTTCAATCATCTCCTGTACTGCACTGTGCCCAGTTCCAAGTTTTTGGGATATTGTGTCCACAGTCACATGCCTGTCATCTTCAGTGACCTCATCCACTCTTTCCTTGTTGCGTTCAGTTGAGGCTGTTCGAGGATGACCGCTCCAAGGCTCATCTTCGATACTGGTGTTCCCATCTTTAAAATGTTTCACCCATCTTCGAACACTGCTCGCAGTCATGCACACACTTCCATAAGCACACTGAAGTTTCTGGTGAATTTCTGCAGCAGGGATTTCCTCTTTCACAAGAAACTAGATGACAGGACGCTGGCAAAATGACATATCATTGTCGGCCATTTTGTTAGGAGTGATACTGGTCACGTGATGCAAGCTATTGAGGTCACACAAGACACTCAAGGTTAACACAACAGCTGGTTCCACCTACCACCGTACTCTCTTTCGTCTGCTGTTCCCAGGTTGCATGCAAAAAAAAAGTTGCTTATGGCTTTCGGTACAACCTACGTAAATTGAAAGGATCGTTTCTTAACAGTGGTGCTAATGGTCCATACAAAAAGAAATATGTAAGATTTGAGGCTTTCATGGCGGTGACCATGAAGAAAGCAGTCTTCTGGGATTTGGCACCGTGTATAAGTGGTGTTAACCGATGTTTCAGAGGAACGTCAGTTAACACCACTTATACACGGTGCCAAATCCCAGAAGACTGCTTTCTTCAAAAAGAAATATTTTGAAGAAAATTACTGGATGCCATCACAAACGTTTTTGATCTTAACTTCATGACCTGTTAATTCAGAAATCGTTTGCATGGTCACCATGTTAATTTATATTTTATGCAACAATTACATTGACAGAATGCTTAAGAGATTTATCACCATTTTCATAACATCGCATTAGGTTTTTACTTCATTATATTTCATTTCCTTTTTAATGCTGGTTATCTTATGTTTTAGCTATAGTAGTTTTGTAATCCATGGTTGGTCATTTTGAATTGTGCTGTAGATTCTATCCCAAATGTTTACAATAAAAATTAGCATATTGTCTTCAAATTATTCAAAAACAGAAATTGAAAGAAGCAGCATTATCTTTCCTACCATGTTTCACAAATTTGGCTATATAAATATTTTTAAGTCCAGTCTAAAATGTGAAATATTTTATATTAGTATGTTTTATAATTGGTTCTTATCTGCCTGTGTTCCAAATTCATTTTATGTTGGTGACATGTGAATCAAAGATTCTTGTCTCTGATGATTCATTATAATTTGTAATGAAGTTATTAATATGGTAATGAGAGGATGAATCACTAAACAAATCATGACTATGTAGGAGCATTTATGTGTAATTATACCAGATATTCCTCCTTCAGAACAAACAGTACTTAACAAGGAATTCTTAATTGACCCAGCTAGCAGAGCAGTCAATTAAAATGTCTGAATACTGGAAGATATTCTAGAAAAATGGCTTTAGGTAACACAAAATACTATTACCAGTCACTGTATACTTGTACACACACACACAACAGATTGTTTCTTATGACAGACCACGGATAAATATCTTTATATATCAGATGTTATAAATGACATTGATGATCTGATATGTCTATAATATACAGGGCATGGTGGAGAAAATCCTTATATTTATAACATTGAAAGTTCTGAAGTTGGTGTAACACAATATGATGAGGCACTGTGACCTTTGAAATATTATTGTCTATCCATAACAGCTAATGTAAAAACTTTATTGTAGTGTCTCAGACTTACAAATGATGACATGATCATTAATTATGAGTAGGCAAGGATCTGGCAGGAGGTGATCATTGTCTGTTTCAAGACAGAGAAAACTAAGGATGCCACAGGATTTTAATAGTCCCAGACTGAAAAACTTGCACAGTCAATTAAAATATTGTGTACCATGAGGTTCAACATTTGAAGGCATAGTATGAGAAACAGCCTTTGCTAATGTAGGTGGAACCTGCTTGATGCTTTTCTTTATGTTGATGGAGTTTTGGATGAAATAGCGATCATAAAATTGTCAAACTGTACTCCCTAATTAACTGAGAAAAGCAACACTGTTAACTTTTGAGAACTATTAGAATAATCCATCTAAATATGGAACTGATACTGATATAAATCGCAAGTGATTGTATTTACCACTTTTCACAAAATACAAGGAAGACTGGACTTTTGATGAGAAGAAATGACTATACTCTGCTGTCAATGTTTGTATGCTTTAAGCTAATGCATATGGCTTGCTGGCAGCAAAATGAAATCATATAGATCTTCCTGTCTTAATAATAAACTATATGTGAACTTTACATAAACAAGTATGCATTTTAAAACATAACTTGGCAGTTTTGAACATGTAAAATTACATATTATGCATACTCATTGAGTTTACTATATGGCTGTGCATGTGCTTGTTATCCAGATGTATGAATGTTATAATTATTCTTTTGGGTGCAAGAACTGGATATACACATACACTGAAAAACATTTTGTATATGCCCCTTTGAAGAACTGAAATATTTATTTCCATATTTACAGTCATTTCTATGATAACACTAAAAAGATGAATCTATATAGTACAGTAGAAATTTTAAATAATACATTGACTTGATTCCAAAGAAAATCTGAAAGTCTCAACCAAATAGAAAATTAAATTTGGGAAGGCCTCAGAAATTGTATATAACAAATGAATATATCAAGTTTCTTGATATATTTCAGAAACAATGGCAACTACCTTCAAAGTCACCCAGAAGACCACAGCCTAAATTATTTCTGACGTTAAACAGAATACTCCAATATAATCAGATGTGTGAATCAGTATTTATGTTAGCCATTATCACTAAATGAAGGAAGTGTGTGAAACCCAGTTCTGATTCCAAATGTCTTTCCATTACTTTTTGCATGCCTCATTCTTATTTACTTTTCTGGTCTGTTTATTTACTTTTATTTTCTAATTATATCATTGTATATAACAACTGTTTCGCAGAGGATTCAGATGTTGCAGGATATCAACTATTGGAATGTGATTCTGATTACTTGGATGGTGAGTGATATAGGAATGTAGTATTGTGTACTGTTGATAAAAATGAGTTTCACAGAATGTCATCACATGACACATTGCAGTAATAGTAAACTAATTTTTATTTAATAGAAACGTGAAATTTATGTTCAGAGTAAATAAAATGCATTGCTCACAGGGAAGAATTATTGAGTTCAATTATGTCTCTGTACACAGTTCTTCAGTAATTGAAAATATACATAGAATTTCTTTGGTAAGGAAAGGTAAATCCATCCAATTGTCACACACTAATCATCCAAATAATGTGCCAGGTCTCTTCTCATTTCATGGATCAGTGGCTAACAGTGTGCATTCACCACTCCTTGTAGTAACTGGTACTGGATGCCAATTTGGATGCCATATTTTAATGTCTCAATTTGGATGCTATCAGACAGTACTAAATAGATATAAAGAAAGATGGGATGTGTTTGTTGGTCATCAGGAGATGCACATACATACATACATACATACATACATCTGCATTTCAGGATATTCATAAGTGCAATCTGCACTGAATATGAAACATGTTACAAGCTTTACAAACAACAATACATCTTCACAATTCCAACATGCCATATCACAATAACAAACAAACATAAATGCAAACAGTATGCATCTAAATAAATACATAAAATACAGATTATATTTACACTTAATGCCTATACTGATGCCTACTGTGGGACATCCATCAGTCAGCATGCACTCCCCTTCTATTCCTTAGCTGTTGAGCCCGACAGAAGAGCAAAAATTTATCAACAGTATTTGACGGATTATATATGAGGACATCCCTTATTTCTTTTATAAACTGTTTTTTATCATGTACTAAATCAGTTAATCAATCAGGCAGGCTGTTAAATATTTTTATACTCATGCAATGGACCCCTTTCTGCCTCATTGTGAGATGTGATTGTAGGACATGTAAATTTCTTTCTTGTCTTGTCAGTCTCTCATAAATTGAATAATTAAAAGTAAAATACTCCAAGTTATTTATCATAAAAGTCATCAGAGATAACACCATGGTCTTTCAATATAACTTACATACTTGAACCTATATTAATAATTGTGTCACGTTTTACATAAATAGTTTAACCGTTCAGGCTACTTCTCATACCCTGTGCCTATGAATCCTTTTTAATAGTATCATCCCATATACTCCTTGATCTTTCAAGTGAGCTCATCCTACCAGATATTGCAAGTAAAATTTTAAGTGAATTTCTCATCCATCAGCTCCCTATATGTTCCACTCCTTGCTCTTATAACCATAATAATGTCTTGTGAAATGCTAAGTGGAGTAAACTCAAAACGAAAATGCTCTGAGGTACACAGGTAGTACATTGGATGAAGGAAATAATGAATAGACCTTCACTCCAGTTTTAATTCCTTCACTTTACACTTCAACAAATATTACTAGGCTGATGAAACCAAGGAGGATGAGATCAATGAGATGTGCAGGGAGTGTAGTACATGGTAAAGATGAAAAATGCATACATCATTTTAGTCAGAAATCCTGAAGGGAAGATACCGCATGGAGACCTAAATGTCGGCAGGGGGCAGATGACTAGGATGTATGTAGGCTGGATTCATCTGGCTTAGGATAGAGACCAATAAATACTATTAGAATATACCGAGTGACCACTGCTTGTCAGCGAAGTTAGAGCCAACTTTTGCGGATAGAGGGTGTCGTGTGGTCAGGGTTTTTTTTTTTTTTAATACATGTATAAACTTGTATAGATAAATTGATAGCTCACCTGTGGATTTACATGGTAGGGAGAACAGTTAAGGTTCTGTAAGTAGCATGGAGGTTAGCTTGTGTAATCGTATATATGTCATAATGCATTGATTTAGCAATCTTGAATTTATACTACATTTTCTTACTATTCTAACGGAAGAAAATTCAGTTTTATCACTAGTATAATACCCATGGATAAAATACCTTAATCTAGTAAAAGTTTATGGCAGTTCTTATAGTACCTTGAGCAAAATTCCTGCACCCTGGGTTCTAAATGATTTTGACAGATGTTTTCATTGGTCCTACTTATGAAGCTTACAAACTTGCTAAGGAACATATCATAAACACAACACACAACAATACAGCTTTCAGTGTAGTACTGCTGTATATAATATATGATGTAGTTGCTGAAATAACGTGTAAAATTGAGCATGTATATTTAAAAAATAAGTATGTATGTACAAAAAAATACTTGTGAGTAAAGTACATCAGCATTTAATAATTTGAATTTCTGTGGCAAAGACTTTAAATTAGTTGTAAACTGTAATTTGGGAGGATACTCTTTCGTAAGTTTCCATGGGCATCTCACCACTAAATATACAATATTCATCAAAAAGCCCCATACATATTGATACAAATAACAACATCATGCACTGCAATATGTCTTATAGGTATTAAAGCATCACACGCAACACACTGATACATATTTTGCTGTTGGCTTCTATGTGTCATGGTATCTTGTTTGTGATGGGATGGTGATACACGTATCACAACAATATGACAAGGAATCATCTCATGGAAGATTCCCACATATGTTGCAATCACATCATGATACAGTTTCATTATACATACATCATTGCTTGTATCAATACATATGGGACCCTTATGTACTAACTTACATATTTAAATAATATTACTGATTTGTTTATTGTGGAAAGTATGACAGATACATTGAAAAGAAACATGTTCTGAAAGTACCTGTGTCACAGTAGACTAATCTGTTTCATTTCATCATTCTGTACTCTGCAAAAGTTAATGTGGATCCTGTTTCTTGTTCGTGGTACTGTAGATATAGGTTGGATTTCTGACATATCTTATCTTCTTCATTGTAAGGATCAGGATCTGCGTTAGCACCAAACTGTTGTCAAAGCCTGAAATCATCTATGGAAAAGCTGATCACCCCTTTGGCATATGCTGGGTGCAGTTACCACAAATCACTCACATTTTATGCTGTGTGTCATGCAGTGTTGTTAGTTAAGAGATGTACTCAGTCACATATATGTATAAGGAAATAAACCAGAGAAGCAAAGAACCATTGTACTTGTTGAAAGAGATATATATGGAAGTAGTCTACTATGATACAAGTTTTCAGGTTTTCACTGCACTGAGTGTTCAGATTGTAGTTTTCTCGGTTTTGACACCAGATGATCTTGTAAGTGGATGCCTCTGTCTTAGTAGTCTGACATAAAGTAAAATCTTTCAGGATATGTTTGCTGTTCATTGTACCTACTTATACTTATTCACAATAAATATAATCTGGAAGGTTTTGAAAAATAATACAGTAACAGATTTATATGTTACTGAATCTGCATTCTGTACTACATTTCAAAATCAGTTAGCATGCAGATGATTTTTGAGCTGTTGATAAAAACAGTTGAGAAATTAACTTCTCCAGACATTTGAAATGTTGTGTAGGATGTATAGAAGAAATCGTTGATGATGTACAAACTTATTACTTTGAGAGTGCTATCTTCTGGATGTGTTTCCATATAACTGGTAGGAATTTTCCTTATTACATTTATTTCATAAATCAGTGATGTAACACATATGTGCTCTTATATTTATCCATTAACTGTTGCCCATACAACCTGCATTCATTATTATAGAACTGTTACAAATAGTGGAATATGCCAAGCTTGCACAGATCTGCATGTTTAGAATATTCATCAGCTTGAAAAGCTATGTTTATGTTACTTAGAAGATAATGGTTAATTTTAGACCAATTATATATTATTGTGCCAAGTCAGCCCAACATGTCCATGTCACAGCCTGTTTCCGTTAGCACTAATATTATCCTATCTTGTATGCATATTATTTCCTTACACTGGCTTCTGAAAGAATATCAAATTGTCCTTTGAGGTATTTCTTGTTTTGTCTGAGGACATAAATTGATAACAGTGGCATGTACAAGCAATTGCTTCAGATTTCTCAGTTCTCACCACTCCTTATGGCATGTTATAGAAAAAGAAACACAAAGTAGTGAGGATAAAACTTCAGATTGTTTTGGACTGTTGTAAACTGCAAATGTTTCATATACATTATTCAATATTTTGTATTTCATTTGACCACTGAAGCATTCTTGTATCTCCATCAGCTTATGAAAAGAAAAAGTCTGGGATCTTTCTAAGTTACAAAGTATCACAGATGTGATGCCATAATGAAATAAATAACAGTAAGATCGGCATCCATATTTGTACATATTCTTTCATATAAACAATAATTTATTCCTTTTTAATTGCTCTGAATGACTTTTTCCTATAACAAAAGTACAACTTCCACATCTGTTTAAAGTGAGTATATTGCCTTCAGGAGAAGCATGTAGACTTCCTTTACTCAGTGCTGTGAATACACAGTGAAGACATTCCACTGCCATTTGGCATGACTGGGATATGACCTTGTCTCATGTTCTCATAATCATCACCATCTATTTCTGTAATTATTATTGCATTCGCTTGAAAGTTGTAATTAATAGAAGAGTCTCAACTGTGTATTTTACTTTTGTTTTGAACTAAACTGACATGTTTACACTGTTGAAGGCTTCAGCTGAGATGTGAGGCTGTTTGTGATATTTTCCACTTGAATTATACATCAGTCTCATGATCTCTCTGTAGCAGACAAATGGGAAATATTTTAAAGAGGAAAATATGTGAAGTATACTACTATCAGAAATTTAAGGTGTAGTGACAGGGAGTGATGTGTTGCTGCCACCTAAATTACTAATAGCTGTATGTTGGGTATGTCCATAAACAAAACATCCCCTCTCTCAAACAATCTAGTTTTGATCTCCTGAACTGTTTTAAGAATTTTAAAATTCATATGCTTGTAAAAACAGCAGAGTTGAAAACATATTTTTAGTAAATTAGTTTCCAAACAGGTTATTTTTCTTACAGGTCTTGTTTCTACAGATCTGTAGATAACTTAAGCACCTGCATGTAACACTAACGTTTGTCATTTGGTTTATTACGTCCGAACGCAAATCTTATGAATAATTTTTTTATCCTTCCATTATTAAGTCATGCCATAAATTAAGTGCACATAAAAATATAACAGCCCCCGTGCTGTAGGGTACTTCTTGTTTGTTGACAGCACTGTGTGTTTAGTCTTTGGTTTCTTTTGTATTAGCCTTACGCATTTTTCTAATCTATTTGGGTGGTCTCCTCCCCTTACATGTAGAAATAAGGATTCTCTGCCCAAACAAGACTTGTTCGCTGTTATCTACAAACTCCTATGGCTCAGGTAAGAGACTACCTATCGCATACATCTATTAATGATAAATATTAATGGGGTGCAATATGTACTGTAATCTTTATTGTTCATTTCTGTATTGTGATCTTTCCCTTGGACATTGCACGTTGTGCATAATTTGGCTTTCAGATGTACAGAATGTAATATTGTTACAGACTGTATCATACTCATTTGATCTGGTGACATTATCACAGATAAATATATCACAGTTAAACCAGGGCTGAAGTGTACTTTGCAGATAACACTTATACTGATGTAATCAAGAATACACTACCTTTGTACTGATTCCTGTTCCCAGAAAAAACTGTTGTTAGGAACTTAATTAAAAAACTCATTTTATCCCATGGAGTTATTTGTTCATTATAGTACATTATTTAATGCCATTTATTTTCACATTATTTACCAAAATTGTATTTTATGACTCTGGAGTTCGCTGAGAGGCTTCCAGGGGTTCCATGAATATATTTTTACAGTAATAGATCTCATTACAAATTCAGTAATATTTTGTATCAACTACAGATTTAAAATCTGATTCTTTCAATTATTCTGTCAATTGTAAAGCAGTATCTTTTTATAATAATTTGTGATTGATTTATTTTTATCACAGCCAGAGTATAGGCGATTTTAATATATTGTGACATGATGGCTCAAAGCCAGAATTGTGACTGGGGAAGACGCTCATTGCTAAGCTCCAGCAACCTAAACAGCGACCATTGCTAGGCAGTTGCTCTGTAAACATGTCTCCTTGGCAACAGATATGCACACAACAATATAGGAATTGTTGTAGTCATTGTTTCTATAAAGACCATACAGCCAAGGCTATATAAGGAGAGCCAGTATGGGCTTTAACTTAGTTCTGAGACAGGCAGTCTGCTGGCAGTCTTCAGTCAACACTAGCCAGGGATAGCAAGTGGTAGCCAGACGTGTAGGAGTCAATGACCAAGAATTGAGAAGGTGAAGACACACCTGAAGCCATGGGAGATATGAGAGGGTGGCCAGCCAGCAAGGACAGAAGCTCTTGAAAATGGAAACTGAGGAATCTATGGCGTTGGGAGCTGTTACCAAGGAATGATTAGTGAAGACACAGCAGACTGAGATCTTAGTGCATGATATAGTGAACTTTAAAGTGTGTAAATCAGTGATAGCACTAATAGTTATTTATAGTTACAAGTTATAAGTGGTCAGTCTATCCAATTACCAACCCAAACCACCCTTTTAGTCACTGACACGTGACACTATATTTTGAAGTACTGAAATGGTCTCTTCTTCCCTCCCCATTTTATGACATTCTTTTAAGAGTTATATCTTCAGAAGTCTTACAGTTTTGACTGAAAATGAATTCCTTTCTTGACATTTCTTTTTATGATCCATTTGACAGAACATGATGAGCAAGTAACTGCTTTGTGACCAGGATATATATATATACACTGCCTGTTAAAGAATAAGCTATGAAAAGCAAAGTACACTTCATTTTACTTCTAGATGTTTGATGTTGAGTTTTTACAGTGAAAAAATGATTGAGTTGTAGTGATCAGTGATTTATGATCAATATATATGTCATCAGCGATTGTCAGAATTAATGTTCTATGATGCGTTAAGAGAGAGAAATGTGGATAGTACTCCAATCAATGCTTCAAGAGGACAAAATATGACAAGTATAATTTAGAATTCTGTATATTAAAGTGTGTGTTTTGCTGATTGCTTGATGTCCAGGTTGGTATAATAAAATTAACAAATCTAATATTCCTTTCTTATGTTTTACAGTCCTTGTGTGATAATATACCTACATTATAGTCTGTTCCTCATTTGTGGTTGTGGTGGTGTATAGTGGTGATTGTGTCATTTCAGTTTTAAATGTTGATCCATGCAGAGTTGGTTTAATTTGTTTATGTTGTTAACCAGCAGATTTTATCATAATGACATTTTTGGAATAAACTTCTTCTTTCACAGCATTGTAATATTAATTATATTACAGTTTTGTATTTAAGTTATTTAACAACCTGTGTATGATATAAATAGTGAATCTGTGCTTTGGCACTTCATATATTGTAGACAGTATAAATTACATTTTGCTCTATTTTCTCAAAAACTGCCTTCAAATGTTATTATCTGTGTTTCAAGTTGACATTTACCATATGTTGAGTGGGGTGAGGTGGACACATTGCATAGCACACACAAGGTGTTTTGCTACTAATGACTTATACAATTCATTTGATATTTAAAAATTTAAATAAATTGAATTGAATTGAATGTATACAATCAAGAATAAAAATTTATATTCAGTGTACAATTCAATATTCATTCAAAAGATTTAACATGTAAGTTTTTAAATAGGTATAGTGTGCAATTCCTATTCAAAGGTGTGTTTGTGGAGATGACTGCCTTTCAGGAAGTGATGCTGTGTATTTGCATAGAGACCCTCTTCCATCCTGAATGTGAAAACAGCATATTCTTCCAAAACTTAGATGCCTGTCCACCAAATTACATGGCACCACATTCAAGAAAACAATGATCTTCATAGTAATTGCCATGAGAACCTCAGATCTAATAGATGACTGTGTTTCCTTTTCTTTCGCATTAGCTCGTAAACAAGAGATCATTAAGATGACTGAACAGCTTATAGAAGCAATCAACACAGGAGATTATGAAGCATACACGTAAGTTCCATTTTATATACTAACTGAGATAGAGGGCCTTCACTCCATACTCCACTTCACAGTGGACTTTGTTTTCATTATATTTTATATTACATATGCATTTGTGAATGTGTGCATACACACACATATATATAATTTGTTTCTGAATTTTTAATATGACCACTTTTTTATGGTAGTGAGTTCCTCCTAAACAAAGTGCATTTTCAGATGAGAAATTAACCCATGCTTAGAATTGGAAATGCTGTTATTTCTTGCATTCTGAGTCTGGCAGGCATTGTGTGTGCAGAATGCATTATATCATGCAGCTTAGGATGGCCTATTTGATGACTTACCAATTTTTGTACACCAGTCCTTGAACTGCCGTCATAATTTAACCTTTATTGTCCAAGAACAGGACTTTTAGATATTCCAGCACTATGTGTTTGGGGGTTATATATTAATTTGGGAGTAACAGTTTATTGTCTAGGAACTGGGGATTCTAATTCTCCCACTTCTACATGTAGTATGCCATATTTTAACTATAGAGGGATGTGATATCTGTATTGAGAAACTGTAACACCAGTCCAACAAAACTACATACATGTGCCATTTCACTACTGTGGTACATGATCAGTAAGATTTAAGCTTAAGGAAGTGAATGTATAGATGCTCTACCTGAATTTGTAGTGAAGTAAATGTTGTCAATTAATTGTTTTTTTTCTCTTCACATTCATAGGAAAATCTGTGACCCCCACCTCACTGCATTTGAGCCGGAGGCTCTAGGTAATTTAGTCGAAGGAATGGACTTTCACAAATTTTACTTTGATAATGGTAATTACTACTTTCTTTTGCACCTCTATCTCTGATCTATTCATTATATGATTTTATGAATGTGTATATGTTAAGGTGACCAGATTTTGAAATTATTAGAACTTAAACACACTGAATCAAAACAAGGTTGGCCAATGGATACAGATATATATCCCCAATTTTCTCTCTTACAAAAGAGAGCTTTGGTTTTAATGTATCTCCAAAATAATACATTCTTGTCATTTTTAAATTCCAACAGTTATACAGTTGTGATATAAAGCATGTGAATGTTAATATTGAAGAACACAGAAACAAAAACAGTCTCATGTTATCCTCCATGTGAGACAGGATGCCTTATCCCATATTTTACATCAATAACTGAAAATCAGACACAAGATTTAATAGCTTACAACAATTAATTTTATTATTGACTATTTGCTGCACTACTGAAGGCTTTCTGCAGATGGTTCTGAACATACTTCTCCCTTAAAAAGACAGAACAAAACAAAACAAAACAAAATCAAACCAGTAAAAAGGAGAATAAGTAAGATACAATTTTCACTCGGTTTTGCAAGTATCCCTTCAAATAAATGTTGTAAAATGCATAGCACAAATGCTATGTTCCAGATGTAAGTACCAAGAGAATGATAAATATGTGAATGTCATTTGGCATTTCTTGAATATGTGGCCCGATCTGTATTATTTGAATGATGAGATTAGGCCAAGAATGTAAGCTTTTCAGCGATTTCACAGACTACTTGCTTTGAAGGGGTGTATGTGAATGTCGCACTCTGACTTCTTACTTTTTGTCAGTCCAGGAGCTTCTACTCAGTCACAGCTTATATATTATATGGTGGGGGGAGGCATTATTACAATATTTTTCCATACTACCTATATCAAAAAGTAAAAACAAGCATGTTGGTTCTGATACAAATATGATATCTGATCACCCTGTTTGTACATGTGGGTCTGTGTATATGCAAGAGAGACATAAAGGAAGGAAGATAAATATAGTGTTACAGTTAAACTTTGGAGATTTAAACAGCTTACAAGTAAATATCCTGAATGCTTGTTTAGGTGAATCATCTTTACTATAATATTCTAATGCCAGATACACATGGACATATCTGTACCTTAGTTCTAGTCAGTCCATTGTGAGCCAATTCCTAACCTGACTTGAGCTCAGGGAAAGTTCAAGCAGCTATCCTCACAATGCAGACTTTCTTTTTGTTTTAGTGTACACTCTTTGCCCTGCAGAAGTGTAAATATGAGGCTAGACATGTTATTTGAAGGACATCAAGTGTTAAAAGAGTAGTTTTCAAAACACAAGAACTTATTCATTCAGCTTCATAAACCAAAAAAGGACATTGGAATTATTTAATACTTAAATAATTACTACTTTGAAGTTTCATGATGACATTATCTAACATATTCTGTTGAATTTGATTTGTTTCATTCTGGTCTGTCTACTGATTTTATGAAAAAGCTAAATAGTTCCGTTCAGTGTGACTTGTTAAGATTCTCTTATTTGAATTGTTCATGGCCTTACATGTTTCGGTCTTCAGAGACCATCTTCAGAGGGACCTTTACATCAATACAGTTAGAAGCCATTATTACAGTACATGTTCTAAAAGTTAAACTATATACCGTATTTACGCATGTATAGGCCGCACATTTTTTGCCAAAAATTCAAGAGGAAAACTGGGGTGTGGCTTATATTCGAAATATTCGAAATCACACTTCATTTAAAAAAAATTATATTCATAATTAGTAATACAGGGTGTAATACTCCTGAAATAATATTCCAAGAAAATTATTTTTTTCTATAATTTCTGTCTGAAAATTGTGCTGCGGCCTATACATGCGTAAATACGGTACATACAATATAAATAATATACAATTGGCTGTAAAATATAAAGTTTTTACAACTACAGCGGCTGTTCCAATACTTTAAAATATTTACGAATTCCAATATAATTTTAACAAACTAACTATAAATATTTTAAAGTATTGGAACAGCCGCTGTAGTTGTAATTTTTTTTAATACTAGTGGGGTGGGACTAAGTCCCTTGTACTGCAGCCACTTCTGACCTACTGTACCAGCCCCAGATGATAGGTGAGGGTGATTGTGGAGCAATTGGTGGAATGAGGATTGGCAGGGGAAACTGAAGTACTCGGAGAAAACCTGTCCCAGTGCCACTTTGTCCACCACAAATCCCACTTGACCAGACCCGGGATCGAACCCGGGCTGCCGCGGTGGGAAGCCAGCGACTAACCGCTTGAGCTATGGTGCAGCCCTCGCTGTAGTTGTAAAAACTTTAGATTTTACAGCCAATTGTATATTATTTATATTGTATGTATATATTTTAACTTTTAGAACATGTACTGTAATAGTGGCTTCTAACTGTATTGATGTAAAGGTGCCCCTCTGAAGATGGTATCTGAAGACTGAAACATGTAAGGGCGTGAATAATTGAAATAAGAAAATCCTAACAAGTCACACTGAACGGAACTATTAAGCTTTTTCAAATTCTGTTGAATTTCAGTTTCTCACAGTGATGACTATGAACTCTTAAGTTCAGTAATTATTCTGTATTGTCAATTATGGTGTTAGTTCAATTATTACTAGACTATGACTTATTTGGACATTGGAAAAATTAGTATGAGTGAGAAGTCATAAAAATGGGGCCCATGTCAGAATAAAATTTTGCATGTACAACTTCTCTGTTGGAAAATGAATAAAAATTCCGGGAACATTGAACTTTCTTATGGAGAGCCTGACATCTTTCTGAGAATTTTTTAAAAATATGTTGCCTTACTTTGAACACAGGGCAGTTAAGGACAATTTAAAATTGTAAGACATAAAGTAAGTTTTCATGTTAGATAATAATTTACTAGATTGAAATGCATGAAAATGGTTCCTCTTCTACATTTGTTCCACATTTATTTTGCTTCTTAATAATATTTAGTATTCTGTTAACTATTATTGTTGTGTTTACAGTTTCTCGTTAATATTTTGTCTTTACAATTTTATCCTGTTTGTTAGTAATTTAATATATTGTATTTATCCTGTACTTGCTTGAACAAATAATCCACTACCTTTACTTAAGTCTCATAACACATGAAAAATAAAATAATTTTATATTAACATTACCTGCATACCCTACAACAAAGTTGAAACCAAGCAAAAAATATTTGACTAAATTAAACAGTAGTAAAATTAAAAAATTCATTCCACTAGACAAGCTCAGACACTGGGTGTAAAAAAGGAGGAATAAAGATTAAACACCCAGGAATGATGAGGGTTAATAAAATCATTTTAAAATAATATACATGTATAGACTTGAAAGGATTCTGATGATGGTTTATACTGTACTTCTTTTGGCTTATTTTGGACTTCACCCATCGTCTGGTATGTAAAAGACAAAAAAACCACGACGTTTTGGAGACTGCATCTGTCTCCGTCTTCAGGTTGATAGGGAAGGATAAACCTACTCAGTTGGGCCAATCACTGGAGGTCCAGTGATTGAGACTAGCTCTTTCTAAGGGGCCCAACTGAGTAGGTTTATCCTTTTTTTTAATTGTTTCATTTTTGGTCCGTTACACTATCAATCACAAAGTCAATGAAAAATCCGTCGAGTGTAACAAGAGTTGAACGTGCATCCAATATTCCTAGAAAGTGTTGTGCTTTTACACTTCGACATTTGTAGCAGCATCCACGCAGCATATATACTGTGTACATTAAACAACGCCAGTGTTTTCATGTGTTTGTAATATGTGCCTCTGATGATGGTTTTCTTAAACCGAAACATGTAAGGCAAGTGAGATAAAGAAGTGACCTAAAAACATTGTTACACTCGACGGATTTTTCATTGACTTTGAGGTTTATCCTTCCCTATCCACCTGAAGAATACCAGACGATGGGTGAAGTCCAAAATAAGCCAAAAGAAGTACAATATACATATATGTTACAAACATAATAAGAACACAAACTATACATAATAATAATAATAATAATAATAATAATTAAAAAAATGTTTCAAAATTTAAATATTTGAAAGTGATTATGATTGTTGCTTTGTATGCTCATGAAAAATGGACTGTCACTTTAACAAAGGTTAAAATATTATGATGATTTGATTAGACTGAGCTGGCTCTAAGGTCTGAAAATGGGATTTAGTTTTAGATAAAATGAACCTTCAGGTTTTAATATTAGCATATGAATGGAGTATATAGCTTTTCCATTACTGTCATTACATCCATGCAAGATTAGGACTACTGTATTTTTAACCCGATACTTTTGGTCCCTTATTGCTACAACATACTCCAGTGTTATATGTACACATCATGTTGAATTTCCTGCTTCCATGTCAGTAACCACTGGGTCAAATGAAAATCAGGGAGTAATTTTAATTGTTGCTGAGGAGGCAAATGAGAAATTATGAGAAAAGCTTGTGTTGTTGTGCAAATATCAGATTTGAGGTTCTCATAGTATTGACTGTTAAGCATGTTGTCTTGCAACTTGAGATCACACTCTTTCTCTGTAAATACTTCCACTTATTAATTAATAACTGTATAACTCAGGGGAGCACATGGTAGCATGGTTGGTTGAGGCACTATGCTACAAGTCCTGATGAAGTGGATTCTTTTCAATTTACCTAATGTTTCTAGCCACACTGTGGCCCCGGGGTCTACTCAGCCTCTAACAGAAATGAGTACCAGGAATCTTCCTGGGGGGTAAAGGGCAGCCAACACATAAGGCTGGCAACCTTACCACCATCTGTGAGTCAATTGTCTAAAGAAAATGTTGGAGCCTTGACATCTCACAACCCTATGGACCTTCACGGCCTGTTACAGGATAGACATTTTTAATTGTATAACTCAGTGATCTACCTTCTTGCTTAAGTCATTTTTAATATGGGGTTTCAGTAATTTAAATGTTATCAGAACATAAATACATTGTTTTTCCTTAATTTGCAGATTACTAATCTGTCCGTTATCATCTAAAGCTTCAGTTGCCTGGTGAAGTAGCTCATCACTTACCACAACTAACCAATTAAATGCATTATTGAGCAGTATCATTCTCAAGTGGTGTACAGATCAAGAATCCAGAACATTCCCTGTCTTCTGTATAACCTAAAAGTTCATTACTATGTTCTGAACAGCCTAGCACTGAACTCTAGATGAATCTAGTCCACATCCTTATAGCTTTTTTCTTAAGATCAGTTTTAATATTATCCTCTCATTTAATTTTTCTCAATTTATGTAGCAATTTATCATCTCTCTATGCATACTACATTCCCTTCCTATCTCATTCTCCATGATTTAATTTCCCTAATATTTGGTGAGGATATAGGAGTTTGGTGGGAAAGCCAGAAGGAAAGAAACTACTAGGAAGACCAAGACATAGGTGGATGGATGATATTAAAATGGGTTTTGGAGATACAGGATTGGATGGGATGAATTGGATTCATCTGGCTCAGGATAGGGACCAGTGGAGTGCTCGTGTGAACACAGTAATGAACCTTTGTGTTCCATAAAATGCTGGGACATTCTTGATTAGCTGAGAGACTGGCAGCTTCTCAAGAAGGGCTCAGCTTAATGGAGTTCCTTAGTTAATATTTGGTGTGGAGCACAAATTGTGAAGCTCCTTATTAGGCAGCCTCCAGCCTCCCATTACATCATCTCTCTCTTAATTCTATATATTGTCCTCAGTTCTCTGTTCTCAACCTCTTCATCAGTTATCATAAAATGGAAATGTAACAATACATTTTATGCAGAAGCCATTCTATTATTTTACATTCTGCAGAAAAGTGGCCTTAATAGAAACAGTAAAATAATATCTCACCATGCACACAGTAATGATTATACATAGAATGACAGTAGTTTTACTTGAAACTGAGATGTCTGCATTGCTGCTGTGTTGGTGTTGTTGATAGACAAATGTGAGGTGACATCAAATTCCATGATGTTTAAGTTCAGACATTAGTTTCAAAGTAATTATGGGAGTGTAGAGACATACATAGATGTGACAGTACCATACTTCATACCTTATAAATTAAAGAAACTTAGCTAATATTTGCATAATAACAGAAACTGAAATGTGTTTTGAGGGTGTCATACTGTGATTGTTCAGTTTATGGTCTTCTGGTTGTGACGTGTGGTCTTGTAGGTGGACTGATTTCTGTCTTCTCTCCTCTTCTCTCCCCCACCCCTTGATCTGAGTGACCACTTTCCTCACAGCCCCCCTATGTAACTTAACGGCATCCTTACCCTAATTACATTTGCCCTGAAGAAGGTGGCAACATGTTATTCCCAAAACAATCATATTCATTTACAAGACCAGGAGGTGTCATGGCCCAGAAGACCACAATCTCAACAGAAACTGAAATTAAACTATATTTAATTTTTCCATTTCATGTCCAGATTTCAGTTTAATGGATATAGAGGGACACCAACATGAGTAATATAAATAATGTCCATGAAAGAGATTTCCAGTATGTACCTTCATTAGTTAATCATGTGGATGGATTTATTCAAGCAAGCACAGTCACTTAAGATTATAAGCAGGATTATATGTAAGCAGTATGAATTTATTTTGTGTTTGGTTCAAGTTTAAAGTTTTCTTCAGCTCCCACTCCATTTTATAGAAACGTTGCTTTCCCATGACATTCACAAAAACGGGACTTAATGAGGCGTGACTTTTGGTATGTGTGTCCCTGTTTCAGTGTTAGGGAAGAACTGCAAAGCAGTGAATACGACCATTCTCAACCCACATGTACACCTGCTGGGAGAAGATGCAGCCTGCATTGCATATGTCAGACTTACCCAATACATGGACAAGTAAGTTGATTATAAGGAAGGAAGTTGTCCATATGCTTCATTAAACATCACACCATGAAAATGTATGGGAGAATGGAGGTAGAGTTTTGACTGCTTTACCTCTGCAGAACGAGCCCCTGGTATCCCCCAGATAGGAGTCTGGATGTACCCTGAGCCAATCTGAACACTGTGGAGAAGACAATATGTCTTGCCTCCGTCAGGAATTGAACCTGATCCCTGTTGTCTGTCCTAGGCACTATATTGACTAAACTCACTGATTATGAGAAAGGATGTACATGTAATGAAAAAATGAAATGAAAATATAAATGATTGCTTTCAAGATAATTTATTGACATTAAATTTCAAGAAGACACATTTTATTGAATTTCTGACTAAGAACCGCCAGCCGATGGATATTCATATTGATGATGATGATGATCGGATTGTTAACACTACAAATACTAAGTTTCTGGGTCTTATTATTGATAACACATTGTCTTGGAATGGACATGTGTATTGGTTAATGTCTAGATTGGGCTCTGCATGTTACACGATTAGAGCCCTAAAATCTTACATGTCTCAGGGTACATTAAGAATGATTTACTTTTCTTACTTCCATTCAGTTATGACCTATGGTTTGGTTTTTTGGGGGAAATTCCCCTTATAGTGTACATATCTTTAGGTTGCAAAAAAGGGTGATTAGAATTATAATGAACTCTGGGAACAGAGATTCATGTAGGGAATTGTTCAGGGAACTGGAAATTTTACCCCTTCAATCTCAGTATATATTTTCTCTTGCAATGTTCGTGGTTAATAATAAATATCAATTTAAGTTAAATTCTGGTATAATAGGAATACAAGATATAATAATAAATTCCATTATCCTATATGTAAGTTGACTGTATTTCAGAAAGGAGTGTACTACCATGGAATTAAGGTTTTTAATTGGCTTCCTCCTAATATAAGGAACCTGGCTCAAGATGTTAAACATTTTAAAATTGTTTTTAAGAAGATTTTTGTTGATGAACTCGTTTTATTCCTTGGAAGAATACTTTGATTGTAAATTTGACTCCAATAATTAACTGTGATCTATTATGGTATTGAATAACATAATGAATCTTATATTGTTATTTCTATATAGTGTTATTTGTACTATCAATGACTAATTCCTTATCCTATATGTAGTGGATTTATGGAATGTAAATAAATGAGATGAGAGAGAGATGTTATTTCTAAGGACTGTGATGATAGAAAACAAGTATTTTTAATATTTACAACCACTGTTTCACTAAAATAGATTGCCTAACTTAACAATTGCTAATAAATCCTTTTAAATTTTTCAGAATTTTTTGGAAACATTAATAAAAATTTAGAATGTAGTCTTTTGAGTTTTAATGCCATGTACTTTTTTAGGGAATTGGTGATATTTTAGAAAAATAAGCCATATCCAAGAAGAAGAATATTTCAAATTTTCACAGCCATGGTAACATCAAATCACATATAACAAACAGAAATTATGTTCCTGATGAAATTTAACTACTCAAGTAGTTTAGTATCTACCAAGTGATCAAGAAAATTCTCTAGTAGGGAGTTAGTAATGGTAGTAACTATGCAGGAAGAGAATTAAGATTAGAATTTACATTGAAGTTAGCTAAAGGATACTAATTAATTTTAAAATGACAAAATTTAGCAGCTAAAGATGTCCATACTTACTCAGATTATAGTCTTCTTGGCTGTGATATCATTTCCATTGCATGTAATGCATTGAGAAATATAAAATATATTGTCCCTTTAGATACATTAAAGCTAATTTATTTTGCTTATATATATTCTGTCATAAGTTATGGTTTAATTTTTTGGGGTGGCTCTTCTTGTGTTAACAGAGTTTTTATATTGCAAAAGAAATGTATTAGAATTATAACGAATTCTATACAAAGAGAGTTTTGTATGGATATTTTTAAGAATTTGGAAATAATGACATTCTACTCTCAGTACATATAGTCATTACTTTTATACACAATTAATAATAAACATTTATTTAATTTTAACAATGAGATTCAAAAATATAAAACTAGAGCCCTCAACAATTTATATTTACCTGCAGTTAACCTAACAAAATACAATAAAAATGTTGACTACAGATGAAAGAAGTTTTAAATCTGCATTGAAGATGTTTTTATATCATCATTCTCTTTATTCCATGAATGAATATTATCAACATAATTGGTCATAAGTGTGTAAATTTGTAATGTATTTAATTCAGTTAATATAGGTAATTTAAATAAAATTGTATTAATTCAAGTTTTATAGTAAGTTGTTTTTATATTATGTTTATTAATTAAAATCTTAATAAATTTTTTACTTTATATTATTATTTATGTTAATCGATTAATGTAAGTGATTTTGATTATGTGACTCATATAATTTTATATATGTATTTTGATATGTCTATTTTCAAGGGGACCATTTCCACTTCCTATGTTTGTTACTTGTATAGATATATGGAAGATAAAGGAAATGTATGAATGAATGAATGAATGTAATCTTGTAAGTGGATATCAACTTTTGTTGGAACATGGGACTTCCATCTTCAGAGTTCCTCTGAAATACTGGTACCCACCTACAAGACACTGCAGCATCAGAAGCCAGAAGACCACAATCTGAACAGTCACTACTGTGCACACCTCAAAACTTGCACTACACATTCACTTGATGTCCATTTATTCTTTATTGTTGTTATTTCAGGCAGGGTCAAGCCCACACCCAGCAGTCAGAGGAGACTAGAGTGTGGCACAAACGTGACAACAAGTGGCAGAACGTTCATTTTCACCGTTCTGGTGTGACTGGTTCCTCACCTTTTACTTTTGCCCACAAATAGAAACATATGAGGCATTGTCTTCTCTGGGACAAAACTGCAAATGAAATAAAATCAACAATGAGAAGAGTATTCAAATATTGCTTCTTTGATGCCCATTTGCACCAACCTCCGTTAAACTAAACTGTAACTGGTGCTTAGTAGGATCAAGAAGGAGGTACACATGCCAATCAAGACAGATGTGTATGATATGAGGCATAGTGGTAGGAGGGAATTCTGTCAGCACCCTGAACAAAGGAAGGGGTGGGGAGAACTCTTATGTAAACTAAACACCACCAAATAATAATGTACATACATAACAAAATTGGAGAGGTGGAATGTTTTATTGTTTCATAATACAGATGGCTCTGTAAATAATTATATTTATTTTATATAATAATCAAGAAGAAACTGCAAAGTGGGTTCCATGTCTTTGCCAATTATTTGGCTGATGTTTTACTATGTTTATCTCTAAAATTTTTAATATTTTTTGTAAGATCAGAGGTTAGATTTTAATGTACTTACTGGAGAAACCAATTGACACAGTTTTAGTTTGTGGTGGAATAACAGGTAAGGAAGATGACATTTATAAAAACTGGAGTATGCTGAATGAGATAAAATATACACAATACTGCATCTATCAAGCAGAAAACTGTTAACGTTTAACGGACTTTGGTGCAATACGTGCAATATGTACACTAATATGTATTACATAGTAAGAAGCTTTCAACAACTTTAGTATGGTAAGAGATTTTTTGCAATTTGATGTTGGCTGTCTTGTTAAGGTGAACATGAGAAACTAAATCATCTCAGTTCTGTCTATGATTAGAAGTATGAAGATGTCAATGAATCATTTCACGTAATATTGTAAAGCAAGAATTTGCGTGAACTTCCTTACCACCTATTTGTATTTCAAAATGCTTTGACAAATGGAAAGGGGGAAAATTTTTGTCATGCTTTTTCTGGTTATGCTGACTATTTATGGAAATATAGCATGTATTTGTTTTCTCCTCCAGTATGAGCAGTTGCCAAAACAGTATTGAAATGTAAGAACAAGATGTGCATGTGTGAGATTAAAACTTCATAAATGAATACTACTGAGATATAGAACAAAAAAGTTACATCTTTATGTGAAAATTACAAAACTTTTATCTGTCTTCAGACTGAAATTTGTTATAAACGAAATTTGCACATTTATTTGAGGCTCCTCTATTTTAGGAATCCTTTGTTACTTTCCCCTGTAAGGTTGTATCATTTGTCAAGGAATCTTACTACGTATGTAAGTCTATACTATCGTCAAAGGACAACCAAGCTTTTGAATGTAATTGCTATTAACAGAAAAGAAGACCACCACTTTTTTTATCATTGCAAATAGCATAATTAGTCATTATTATTCATAAGAAAGAGTGTGCAATTCTCCAATTGCGTTTAATGTTTAGATGTTTTCAGATATGAAATATGACTGTATGCCCCTTTCTCTGTCATTGTTATGGAATTCAGTTCTATGAACTGATATCTTAATTGTTTGGCCTAATTGTCATCATGATAATATTATAGCATATTCTAAGACGATTCCAATTTAGTAAAAGAAATAACTTCTGAGAGAAAGGCAAGTGATGATTATAGAGAAGTATCTTTACTTCTAAGCAGAAAAAGTAATGTTGAAAAATAACTATTGACTAATTAGAATCTTCTAATTGTACTTAAATGTTTATCTAAAATATTATATATAACAATTTTAAATCAAAAAATTCTTTTTTTATATATAATATTAATTAGAAACAGGTTTCTTCTAACTGCTTCACTGTCAAGTTTCATAATGTGAGAAACCTATTCTTTGCTATGCTGCTGAGTACAGATTAGTGAGTTAAATATCTTCTTGTAATATAAGATTATAATATCAAGTTATTTCTTGTGAAATTTTTATGTAATTCAGGACTGAAATAACTGTGTTTTCACAGTGAAAGGAATTATATGCAAGTACTACTTTCTTTCCCTTTTCATTTGACATAATAAATTATGACGGATTTTAGAAGTGGAGTACGTACTGTTGTAAAATAGCCTACTTGATTTTTTGTTTATTTGTTGCTTTTTTAAAGCAAAAGATTTCAAAGCTTGTTGTTGCAATTTAATTGATGGTTGCACCTGATGCACTTTGTTATTAGTTCTGTTAGATCTTTTAGTAATGTACTTTTATCTGTGATTGCATTTTAAAAATATTAATCATGATTTTTAATTACCTTCAGCACTAGTTCTATGGATACAGTTCAAATATTCCCAATATGAACAAGAGACATCACCCATTTATGAAAGTATTGAGCAGCCATGTATAGTTCTTCCCACAATGTTTGAGAGATGAAGTAAACCACTTGAAGAGGCATGGAAGGTCAGATACAGCAGAAGCATATACCCTTTAAGATAAAAACTGCACAAATACTATTCAGCTAACTCTATGTGTAAAAGAGTAATAAATAAACAAACATATTATTACAATTGTTTGTTGTTAATACAATGTGAGTTTTGTTTATGCCTTGAATATTCATAAAGAAATATTATAAAATACATATCAGCAGTGACGAAGCATGTCACCTGTTGAAACAGCTCACACTGTTAGTTTAACATAGCTGTTTCTACCATCAGTTATGCTAGCACATGATTCCGGATGGCAGTGCATGTCAAATTTTCCTTTTGTTTTCCAGATGAGCTTGAATGTTCAAAGTGAATATGTAGAAGACTTTTCTGTGTATATATATATATATTTTTTTTTTTGTTGCTGTTGATTTAGATTTGTGTGGTAAAGTGATATTTGACAATGAGCCCAATGTTTTCACAATTGTAGGAATATTATTACCCCACATGCTGCCATGCCTCTCAGCAGAAGGAGGTGATTGTGATGGTTTACTCCAACTCTTAAACATTATGGGACTAATAATGTGACAGACTGTTGTCCAATGCAGATTTGGTTATACAAGTAAACACAAATGCAAAAAAATATTTGCTAAAAATGCAAAATTTTAATATGAAATCTTTTCCTGTCCACAACCCTAAAACATTGTAATTCGGTCATCCCAATTTCAAGGTAATGCCTTTACCTCCTAATAACACACTGGTTCTGCAACCTATGGACCATGGAGTGATTGAGACACTTAATCTTATTACACTCAAAACATCTATAGGCATGCAATCCAAATGTAGTTTCTGTGATTTTGATAACTTAGAGCAGTATAGGTAGGGTCATATGTTTGAGAGAGAGTGTGTGTATGTGTGTGTATGCATATAAAAACTTTGTGTTGCTAGGTATTAATGGGAGACTATGTGGCTGCATTCACATATCCTCATTTAACCCATAAAGTATTAAATTTGTCCAACATGGACTTACCTAACATGCTGTTCTTGAGGAACCTGACACCTGCACTGGACAGTGGTTTACTGTAATGTTTTAATTAAACAAAATGAAGACTGTTACAATGTTACCAATTGCAACAAACAGAATGCAAATTCTTTGGATAGCAAGAAGTTTTATTATGCTTTAATTCGGTTCCTATAAAAATCAGTAAGAAGGCATCTGGTGTGGACTATTCTTATACACTGCAATTATTTTTGTGTTTTTACAGAAATTTTAATTAGCTGTAATTCTCACTGATTATGTTATTATTCATAAGAGGAAAATATCTGTCTTCTACTTGCATGTACTGATATTTCAAAGTCCTCATATTCATCGCCATTATGTAATTAACTTTTCTGTTAATAGAGTGACACAACCCTCCCACATTTAAATGCAGTGCATTACACTTGATCCATTGTAATAATTAATTATACATATGTGTATGTATATCAGGTCACCAGTCAGACGGTAGGATCAAATGTGAAAATTATTACACCATTTTTACTTACAATATTCGCATGAATGGTTATAAAAATTATATTGTGATAATTTATTCATCTTTTATGTTTATATATTGAACACTGATGAATGTTAAATATGGCTCTAGTGTTGCTACTTTGTGTTCATGATTCAACAAAAGAAGTGAAGCCCTTTGAGCACTCCTTAACCCCCCNCTCAGCATTCTATCTACTATATTATGTTGTGACAGTTGTTCACAAAATAATGCCAGTGATTGTTATCTGATTATTTTGGAAACTCTTTTTTAATATATGTCTTTGCCATTTTAGGTTAGTGATTGCTTGTTATTATAATGTAATTGTGGCAAAGATCTATTGAAGGAGAGTTGATATTAGAACCTTTTTATCACTTTTATTTTTTCAGTTAAAATTGTGATTCAGCTTAATTTTATTAAGTGATGTTATATATGTGTAAAGCCATTAATTATCTGTAAAACCACAGTCAAGAATGTTGTAAATCTGCTCATCTAGCTGGCAGTATTATTAAACATAAAAGAGTATTTACCAGAAAATCATCATTACCAGCCACATATGCATTATACAGCCCACAAGCTGTATTTATTTACCCACAAACAGAAATCTTTTATCAGTTAGTTTGGTATTCTACAGTTACTATGAAAGTTGTCTAAGAGCAAAATAAGAATCTCTAAAGAATATGACACAGTTATGTATGATTTTAAGCTTCCACAGCTAACAAATGCATTAAAATTTTCTAGGGCAATCAGCCATGACAATGTTGAACTGAAAACCAAATTTTCAGAGATAACCTTGGTCTCCATCTCTGGCACACTGAGTACTTACAGGATGATCTAGGTGGTGGTGGATTGGACACATCACTTTTTAAATTTATCTTCATGAAGGAATTTCTTCAGTCCATAGGATTTGAGCTAGTTCCTGCTTAACTTCTTTCCAAAAACAGAACAATGGAAGTTAAAAATACAGGCTCCTCTCACAAAACAAAATGTAATTATTACTTGAGGTTAATTGACATCTATATTAATTAAGAAATATGGGCTGCGCCATAGCTCAAGCTGGCTTCCCACTGTGGCAGTCCGGGTTCGATCCCGGGTCTGGTCAAGTGGGATTTGTGGTGGACAAAGTGGCGCTGGGGCGGGTTTTCTCCGAGTAGTTCAGTTTCCCCTGCCAAATTCTCCATCATAATCACCCAGGGCAGGCTACAATAGGCCAATCAGTGGCCACTGTGCCGAGTGGACCCAGTTGGACTCCAGCCCCCACTAAGCAAATCGATACGTTCCTCCGAAACGTCGGTTAACACCACATATACACGGTGCCAAATCCCAGAAGACTGCTTTCTTCATAGTCACTGCCGTGAAAGCCTCAAATCTTATATAGGATTCTTGTTTGACTTTTTCTGTAGTGTACTCTCTAGGCTTTATTTATGGAACAGGTTGGAATTATTGTATAATATGCTTACTATGCTCTGTTAGAAAGTGATTGTGATGTTTTGTTTGCCTTTTACCCCTGTTACTTAGGCCATGAACAGTAGTTTTGATGCAGAGAGGAGATCAGTTAACATTAATGTCTGCTGCCATATAAGGAGGCAATTATCTCCCACTCAAGTCAGTGGGAATTCATCTAAAACAATGTTGTGGGTTTAATCTCATACTTTCCATTATTCAACTTTTCAACTGCTACAGGACTTGTCAATTGGTTTCAAACTTTTATTTGCAATGTCTTCTCTAACTGCCAAATGAAAAGAAATAATTTTATCTTGTAGATTTTCTGATGTTGCATCATATATAATACTGTCCCTTCTCTAATACATATAGAAAACCGACAATATGTTGATATATGAAACATGAGCAATGAGATATGTGAGAAATATTTGGCAACGTGGTAAAAGCAAATATACATAGTACATTCAGATCTAAAATTGCTGTTTTAAATGTACTGAGTTCCTCCATGTATAAAAAGATGTTATATATACAGATGTCACCAACTGTGTTAATTTTAAAGTAAGAATAGTCACATTTTAACTCATATGCATTTCCTGACTAAATGTGTTCATAAAAACCTTCCATGTTTCTGTCAAAGGCTTCCATAATATATCAGCGCTCCATGAACTGTACTATGTATCATGGTGTACTGAAAGAACATCCTTAACAGAATACAGTTTCAGTAAATAGGAATATTATTATTTAGAGAGATGAGGGAGACCTTCAGAATTAATATACTCATAATCTGACAAACATTCATTGTGTTTCATGAACATTAATTAGATAGCATTTGCATATGATATTGTTTCACCAGAAAATATTTTGCATTTTAGTGTGTAGCCTCTCTCACATATTTTCTACATAAGATGACTGCATTACAACATATTTCTTTGGGAAGTCAGTAATTATTTTCTTAATTTAAAATGGTTCTTTTCTTTCCAGAAATGATAGCGATGGATTGGTATTCCACTGTGCAAGAATGGTGAACTTTTCTGATGCATTCAATTTATGGTCTTCACTGAACCTGAGTGGCCACCTTGCATATGTAACCTAACCTAACCACATCTCCACCCTCACTTCAACCCTGAAGGTGGAGGCAGCACATTCCTCCAAAATATTAGTATCCACCATAAGATAAAATAATANTAAAAATATAGATTTTTAAAGAATAATAATAAAAATAATTTTTTTTTTTTTTTGCTGCACATGCAAATAATAATAATACTAACAATTATACTATATTTAAAATTTGTTTGGGTAGAACATTCCTGGCTCCGAATATGTCAGCATCCCTGCAGACAACATTAGCAGCTGCTGCACATCTAGCAGAGGGATAATTTTTAGATGTGGAACAAACATTGAACAATGCAAAGTCTCTGATATACCGAGCAGGAACTCGGAGACCAACAATTTCCAGAACAGAAGGGCCGAATTTCGAGCCAGAATAAACGTGAAATTCAGCCCTTCTGTTCTGGAAATAATAATAATAATTAAAGACTACATAGTATCACCGTCCAGAAGACCATAATTTGAAAACATACTGCCATGAAAACATGATTGATAATGCTAAAGTAATAATACCAGTGGTTTAGCAGTATTAAATGGTGCTTGGAAGTTTTCACACACTTAACCAAGTGAACAAGATTCTTAACTGTCACATCTTTTTGATGCTTCTTTAATTCTTGGCTTTCAAATTAACATGACCCTCACTCACTTCATTTGAAAACTGTTCCTTATGTGGAATTACATATACTTTAAAGTGCTATAATGGGAATGCCTGTTTGGTTGCATGACTAAGATTCAGGTTGTCTTAGGTTCTGAACCATGGGAATTGTTCTGATTATTCTGACTAGCTATGGCTACTTAATCAAGAGGCTGAATATTTGCATGTGTCAAACAGGGGTAATATGATATGTGAATACTAACAGTGATTAAGTTCTTCCTTATGGTGGCACATTTATATTGTTACCCCACAAAATTACATATATGGAAATCAAAATGATTACAAAACTGTCATTAGTGCCTGAAAGATATGTCAAAGTAAAGAGGTAAAGTTGTCCCTGTGCTTAATTAATTAAGCATCGTGCCATGAAAACGTTTTTGGGAGAGCAAGTATAGCTCCACCATTCTTGACCTTGGCACTTGATGGAGGTGAGTGGTCAGCTTCATGCCCAGGCCATTATATTGACTGATCTCTCCTGGCCCAAATTTTAATAATCCCATAATCACACAAAGTAGCTGTTGCACAAGTGTGCTCTGAAGAGCCATTTGCTACAAGTAATACAGATTAGATCACACTAGAAGCAAAAGAAGAAATTAAATAATGCAAGAGGTGCACAGTCTGTGCCACAATCTTAGCAATTTATCCAAAGGCATTTATGTGGTGTTTATAGTTAGCAAAGTGACAATAGATTATTGTACTTTTCTGCTACCTATCATCAATCTCCATTTTCATCTTTCTTGAACATATGTGACAGCCATAGTAGGCTAGCACATTATCACATTCTAGGTCCTTAGATCTGACATTGGCAGGACTGAAAGAATAGGGAGTTTTATAAATATGTATAGTAACACTGTTTCCTTCTGAATTAGCATGTTCCTGACATCAGACTGCTCATTTTCTGAATTTTAGATTGTGCTATGGAATGTTGTTTGTCATACTTTGTATTTCAGAAGCACTACCTAAAGTAACAGTGTGCCTTGCATTCACTTTACGTTGTCAGGGCTTACTCCCAGTTCTCATTGCTCTCTTCTTGATCCTTGAATCTGGAGTGCCATGATTGATTAAAATATCATTGTTATTAAAGATATGTCTTTATTTTGGATTAATAAGCTCTCTATTTCGTGCATATTTATTAATAATAATTCTTGAAATATATGATGTATGTTTATTTTACATGTATCCATTGCAGTATTTGAATAGGTTTAACATAAGAATGCTACACCCATCCATAAAAATCTACATAGCTTCTCTTGCTAGGCAGCTTCTTTTGCATACATTCAGTACATTACATTGTATTGCAATCACTGGATAAGAAATGAAGGAGCTTCATGTGCCAGATTTTGAGACATGTTCTGTTTCTCAGTGGGCGCACTAAGAGACAGAGTAAATTATTCTGTTTGTCCATTACAGTACCAAAAGCCATATAAAATTAGGAGTTGGAAATATTCTTTATTGTGAAGTGTGTGTATAGAATTCTTAATTGTTATTAGTATTGTCAAACTTTGTACAGTGTAAAACCTTCAGGAAATAATATTTGCTCACCCAAGTCATGTTTTACATCCCTATGACATATAATTTATTACACTATATTCTAGGTCAGGAAACTTTTGGAAATCAAATTGCATTGTCATTTACACTTCTTCATTTGCCTTGCATTAATAATACTTTTCTACATTTGTTTCCATGTATTTAAAAGTACCTTATTTACATGTGTCACAGTCATCAAGTGGCAACTGCAAATGAACACTTATGCTTGCATAAATTTGTTATTAGAATCCAAATTTTTATAATCTGTTGTGAAATATTATGACACTGTCCTAGTATTTCACTTGTTAAATGTGCAATATGTACACATGGAAAAACTGTTGTTTTGATTTCACGCATTTAAGATACTTACATGTTTTTAGTCATAACTTTATTGTTCATTTACAATCTCCACTGTTACGTAAATATTGTCATGTTATCTTTGCCTATGTGAGACACTGGTGGTTACATACACTCTCACCATTAAATAATGGGAACATTGCCTGAGACTTTTCCTGGTTTGTAGATATGAGTGCGTGTCATCTTGCTATATTAAGTCATAGTTGATATGCAGAAAAGAAACATCTTTAATGTACTTTATCCCTCAGAGTATTTCTACTTTTGTTGTCTTCTCTCAGATTTTTTCCTGACAACAATCTTTTATGGAAATAAAAACCATACATAAAATTATGACCTCAAGTTACAAAGATAGATATCCTCTCCTTTTATCCATACACTTCCTTCTGTTGCTGTTACATGTGTAGATGAAATATCCTGATTTCAGAATATGTGTTACCTAATACGAAACACATTATCCCTTTTTCAAAAATAAGACCAGTGATGAGACAATATTAAGAATTGAAGCTCCAGTCTGACATGATTTTATTAAGCTTGTTCTGTTCACATATGCAGTGGCATCAGAAGCTTTACTTGGAGAAG